GGAATGGTGGTGATTTTGGATTGTGGGAGCAAGTGGCTACCCAAGCCGCCACACTCAAGGCCGTTTCCCACATTCTTGGGCCGAGCCTCACGCATGAGTGAAGTCTGATTAAACCCAGGTAATGTGGAACTTTGTGACTTTGAACTCTGGGCTCAACGGGACCAGGATTGGAGATCCTCTGCCCATTTCCCACCTTCCCCCCCAGTCTCTGGTGACCCAAGGGTCATGTCCATAAGCCACCTCCTGCTGGTGCCAGATAATGTCCTCATTGGCCACCATCCAGATCACAAGGCTTTTTCACAAGGGAGCAACATGACGCCTGCCATAGCCATGCCACTGGACTCCACACCAGACTGTTTCACTTGGGGTACCCCAGAGGGGGCCAGCTGAGAGGCCTCCCCACCCCAAGGGACCTAGCCCTGTCAGCCTAAAAACTCCAGGACCCGAGTTCAACCATGCTCAAGGCTGCTCCCCACATGCTCCAGCTGAGTCTCATATAAATGATCATATTCCTGGGCCGCTAATGTAGCTGCGCGACTCATCATAAGACACTCTCTACCCATTCTCCATAAGTACCACACCACATTTGATGGGGTTCAAATAGTAAGCAATAAATGATAGAGGGAAATATATATAATTATATGCATATATACATAGTTTTAGAAAAATATATGAAAGCTCACATCGCTCAACCTTTAACAAAATGTTAGTGATATTCTAAAAAATGTCTTAATGGCCCCTGTCAAAATAGAGCATTCTTCACACTGTATCCCCTATGGATACTTTTCTTTGTAGCATTTCAGCGGTTTTCCATAAGACAATACAAAATATATATCGGTTGTGCCTTGGGACAGGGAATGGGGCTTGGGATGGAAACACCCCAAATTTGGTGGTTGGAAGGTGCAATGGTGGTGGGATTGGTGTTTGAATATTAACTGTAATCAAATATTGTGAACCACCTTATAAAATAATTTTTTTTCATTTTTTATAATTTTATTTATTGGATCACCGTGAGAGCAGTTACAAAGCTTTCGGGTCTAAGTATCGGTCATACAATGAAACACCCGTACCTTCACCAGTGCCCATTCTCCACCCCCAACAACCCCAGTATACCCCCATCCCACACCCTCCCCCTACCTGTGGGACAGATTATTTCCACATTACTCTCTCTCTACTTTGATCACATTCAATATTTTGACACCAGACCCACCATTATTATTTGAGATTTTACCCCAACACTCAGATCTGCTGAAAAGGCAACAGTAGACAATTTGTTTTATATTGCTGGTTATGAATAACATATGATGTTGCATGGCTGCAGTAGTGGCCGCGTGATTTTGAAATTCCGAAATTTTAACACTTAAATCTGGAGGGATTTTTTCCAAAACCTGCTGGGTTCGGAGATTTGCTCCTGAGTCTCTGGGATCATGGCCGTTAAGCAGCTTGATCAGGAGCCAGAAAGGTCGTTCGTGGCTGATTACTTGGGGTCTCGTTGGGGTGGGGAGGACAGGACTGGTTCCACTCCCATCCTGTGAGGCCCAAAATGTCTCGTCACTGCGGGCCCAAACCTGACTGTCCAATGGCCTCTGGAAGATGACGGCCACTGAGCTGCCAGGGGGAAGCAGGTGGAGGAACGACACCTTTTCCCCCCTGGGGTGGCCTGGCGACAGTAACCTACTGCGGGGTCCGGATGCATTTCTCCAAAAGCCGCTGGGTTTTGAGATTTGTTTCTGAGTCTCTGGGATCATGGCCATTAAGCAGCTTGATCAGGAGCCAGAGACGCCGTTCGTGGGTGATGACTTGGGGTCTCGTAGGGGTGGGGAGGACAGGACTGGCTCCACCCCCATCTCGTGAGCCCCAACAAGTTTTGTCACCGCAGTCCCAAGCCTGACTGTCCAATGGACTCTGGAGGATGGCAGCCACCAAGCCACCAAGGGGGAGCAGGCAGAGAGACAGCACCCTTTCCCCCCTGAGTTGGCCCAGCGACAGTAACCTACTGCGGGGTCCGGATGCATTTCTGCCAAAAACCACTGAGTTTCAAGATTTGTTTCTGAGTGAATCTCTGGGATCATGGTCGTTAAGCAGCTTGAACAGGAGCCAGAGAGGCCATTTGTGGGTGATGACTTGGGGTCTCGTGGTGGGGAGGACAGGACTGGCTCCACCCCCATCCCGTGAAGCCCAAAATGTCTCATCACTGCGGACCCAAACCTGACTGTCCAATGGCCTCTGGAGGATGACGGCCACCGAACCACCAGGGGGAAGCAGGCGGAGGGACGACACCCTTTCCCCCCTGGGGTGGCCCAGCGACAGTAACCTACTGCGGTGTCTGGGCGCATTTCTACCAAAAGCCGCTGGGTTTCGAGACTTATTTCTGAGTCTCTGGGATCATGGCCGTTAAGCAGCTTGATCAGGAGCCAGAGAGGCCGTTCTTGGGCGATGACTTGGGGTCTCTTTGGGACGGGGAGGACAGAACCGGCTCCACCCCCATCCGGTGAGGCCCAACAAGTTTCGTTACTGCGGGTCCAAGCTTGACTGTCCAATGTCTTCTGGAGGATGAGGGCCACTGAGCTGCCAAGGTGGCGCAGGCAGAATGACAACATCCTTTCCCCCCTGGGGTGGCCCGGCAACAGTAATCTACTGTGGGGTCAGGATGCATTTCTGCCAAAAGCCACTGGGTTTCGTGATTTGTTTCTGAGTCTCGAGGATCATGGCCATTAAGCATCTTGATCAGGAACCAGAGAGGTCATGCCTCTGATTATATAGCTGAGCCGAAGGTGGTTTGTGGGTGTATCTCCCACATACCTAAATTTTGGCCGTTTACTTTCTTGGTAAACTGTGCCCCAAGTTTTTGGGGTCTGGCCAAAAGCACAGCAGCAATTTTGGGGTATCTGGAAGTCTGAAGATGCCATCAGGCTGCTGATGCACTCACCTTACAGGTACAGGTTGACCTGCTGGTGGTACCATACCCCCTTAAAATAAAAAATTTTAAAAATTAAAAAAATAGCGGCATTGTGATTAACAATACTGTTAATGACAGGGTTTCATGCGTAAAATATTCCAGTATCACAACCTCCACCAAATTTGTCTCTTCCATGCTTGACCCCTGATCGTGGTAAGTTTAGCTCTGTTGATCATTTCTCATGTACTGCTGCTGTCTTTGGACTTTTGTGATCCCCTTCTATGTTTCTTTATATCCCACTCACACATGGGAGAGATTATTCTAGTTTCCCTTTTTCTGGCAACCAAAATTACTTTCTCTTTATTTCTACAAGACCTCTTAGGATGAGATAGATCAACTTTGGTCAACTAAACAATATATGCATACCTTGATGAGAATGTGCTAATTGAATAATTTTGAGTCTTTATGATAATCATCCCTGTCTATAATAACAGGATTGTGGTAAACCACCAATTGTGTGCAAAGAAATCTAAGTTGACTCAGAAACTATGCACAGCAAATAAAACATGTCCATTATGGTGTGAACAAGGAGTAGAGATCTGATGCTTCCTTTAGTTAGTAATGAAAAACCTTTTATATGGGAATGATATCATTGGGAAGGATTCCACATCTGGCAGTGCTCAGTGTCTACTCCTGGCTTTAAGCTCAGGATTTACTCTTGGTGGTCTTGGGTCACAATATGTGGTGGCATGGATAAAAACTGAATTGGCTGCATGCAAGGCATGCACTCTATCCACTGTACTATCTTTCATGCCATGGAGTGATATTTTTTTAAATTTTTATTAGTGAAACACCATGAAGTACACTTGTAGACTTACAAATTTTTGTGCTTGGGTTTCAGTTATACAATGATCAAATACCTATCCCTCCACCAGTGCCCATTTCCCACCACCACGGATCCCAGTATCCCTCCCACCCCCATCCCTCCATCCCACCCTGTCGCTGTGGCAGGGCATTCCCTTTTGTTCTCTCTCATGGAGTGATATCTTAATAATGTTCTTTAGTTCAAAAAACCCACTTTAATTCTTTATCTATTTTAACTCAGTCTTAACCGCTGTAAATTAAGGACAACTCTGATCTGAATTTTCTAGAAAAGGAAAATGAAGGTCGGAAATCTTAAGTAACTGGCCCCAAATCATCCCAGTAGGAAGAGTCAGAGCTAGCAATGGAACCAAGGGCTTCAAATTCCTAGACTGTGCCATATTTACCACATACAAGCTCACCATACTAGTTCTGGGCTCAACAGAAAATTATGGAGAGAAGGCACTGGATTGATTGGTCACCAAGATGAAAATAAAGGCAACATAATTTGACTTGGAGCATGAGAATCATTAAGTCAAGAGAACAAAAACACAGTCAGAAAATTTTTGAGGAGTCTTAGAAATACCAGGTAAATATTATGTGAACCTCTCCATTTTGAGTTCACATAATATTTATTTGAGTTTATTTATTTATTTGAGTTCACATAACCTCTCCATACTCAAAATGGAACTGCAAAACCAAAGCAAAAGTGAAATATATAACCATATTTATAAAATAGTTCTAGACAGAGAAGAGGGATCAGCATTGTCTGAGAAAGAATTGTGACAAATTCTTCACATGTTTTCAAGCCCAAATGAACCTCTACAGTTCAGACATACATTATCCCTTAGATGGGAGAGGTGTTCACTGGAAATTTCAGTGTCTCTCAAAGAACTAGACCATCTGTAAAGTATGTTTTTCATCCACTAGTATTTTACTTCTCTCTCTAGTTCTGTGCTTGTGAGTGGTGACATGCTGCTGTAGTCTGTAACTGACTCCAACATGAGAGTGGAACCACAGGGCTACAAGGATACCACTGGAGGAGATGAAGAAGGCCCTCTAGGTATACTCGTGGTGTTTGGTCTGAAACAGAGGAAAAATAGCCCTTTCTCTTCAATTTTCTCTTTGTACTTAACTAAAGGTGAAACTGACTTGCAAGCACTGAGAACTGAGGGTTTTTTCCTGCTGTATTATAACAAGAGAATACCTTGTACCTCAAAATGAAGAAAAACAGGTCCTTCTCTGAATATTCTCAAAGTTCTTATTTTGTAATAATCAGAATAGGCTAAACATTCACTATAATAAGACCATGAATGTGTAGCCAGATCTAGTTCTTTACTCATCTAGATCTAGTGATAAATAAAGATAAAAAAGGAAAGTCAGAATCTGTGAATTGATTTGAACCTATGAATTTTCAGGCTCGGGAGGGTGAGATAAAATTTTGATTGGTTCACTTTGTAAATTTTCTCTCCCCTTCTTCTGTTATTGTGGCTGCTGCTATGTACAGGAATTGGTCACTTGGTTATAATGCTCACATAAATATGCTTCTGTTAGCGATGAGAGTTGGGGATATGGGGCAATGCAAAGGTTCAAATTCTTGCCCTCAAGCGTTCAAAGCAGTCTCTCTACCATTGAGCTACATCCCTTGTCATATGCATCATAACCGGGAAAATGGTGTATGCTTTCTTCTATATGGCATCAGGATATTTGACCGATTTCTCCAATGGTTTGGGACACAAAATGTATTATTATTTATCTATTTATTTTTTAATTGAATCACCATGAGATACAGTTACAAAACTTTCATGTTTGAGTTTCAGACATACAATGATCGAACACCCATCCCTCCACCAGTGCACATTCTCCACCACCAGTGTCACCAGTATACCCTCCCCTTTCCAATCTTGTCCCTGTCTGTATGGGCAGACAATTCCTCCATACTCTCGCTCTACACTTTTGGGCATTCTGGTTTGCAATACAGATACTGAGAGGCTATCATGTTTAGTCTTTTATCTGCTTGCAGCACACATCTCCCATCTCAAATGATTCCTCCAACCATCATTGATTTACTTAGTGGTCACTTTTCTATCCCAACTGCCTTTTCCCCCAGCACTTGAGACTGGCTTCCAAGCCGTGGGGTGATCCTCCTACCCTTAGTTCTACTTTCCTAAGTGTTAGTCTCTCATTATCTTACTTTATATTTTATAAATGAGTAGTCATTCTATGTCTGTTCCTCTCTTTCTCACTGATTTCACTTAGCATGATGCTCTCCATGACCATTCTCTTATAAGCAAATTTCATGACTAAATTTTTCCTAACAGCTACGTAGTATTCTGTAGATGTACCAAAGTTTCTTTAACCAGTTGTCTGTTCTCGGGAACTCTGGTAGTTTCCTGATTCTGGCTATTGTGAAGAGCGCTGCAATGAACACACAGGTGCAGATGTCTTTTCTACTGTGCTTTTTTGCCCCCTTGGGATATATTCCCAGAAGTGGTATTGCAGGGTCATATGGAAGCTCAATTTCAAGTTTTTGAAGCAATGTTCATATTGTTTTCCAAAAGGGCTGGACCAGTCAGCATTCCCACCAACAGCGAAGGAGCGTCCCTTTCTCCCCTCATTCACGCCAACACTGTTTGATTTTGTTCTTTTGAATATGTGTCCGTCTCTGTGGTATGAGATGATGTCTCGTTATTGTTTTGATTTGCTTCTCCCTGATTAGCGATGTGGAGCATTTTTCATGTGCCTTTTGGTCATTTGTATATCTTTTTTGAGGAAACTTCTGTTCATTTCTTCTCCCTATTTTTTGATGGGGTTGGAGGTTTTTTTCTTGTACAATTCTATACTAGTGTCTTGTATATCCTGAATATTAATCCCTTATTAGTTGGGTATTGGGTAAATATTCTTTCCTGTTTGTGTATTCTCTCTGTATTTTGGTCAGTAGTATTTCATCCTTAAGGATGTATTTAGGTTCAGTGCCATGGAGGGTTCTGCCTACATTTTCCTCCATGTACCTTATGGATTCAGGTCTGATATTGAGGTATTTAATCCACTTTGATCTGACTTTTGTGCATGGTATTAGACAGAGTCATTAGTTCAGAGTTTATTTTTTTGCAGCTAGCTGTCCAGTTTTCTCAGCACCACTTGTTGAAGAGGCTTTCCTTGTTTCACTTCATATTTCTTGTTCCTTTATCAAAGATTAAATGATCATTTATTTGAGAGACAGAATATTCAACTCTGTTCCATTGGTCTTTGGGTCTCTCTCTAGTCCAGTACTGTGCTGTTTTGATTTTTGGCTCCACCTGACAATTCTCGGGGCTTACTTCTGGCTATGCACTCAGAAATCACTCCTGGCAGTGCTCAGGGACCAGGTGGGTTTCCTGGGATTGAATCTGGGTTGGCCTCATGCAAGGCAAACACCCTACATGCTATACTATCACTCTGGCCCCTCAAAATCGACTTTAATAATATTTTATAACTAATAACTTAAAAATGTGAAGTAAGAAAAACAGCAAAAAATTGTAGAGCTGGCTTGGAGTCCTGACACCTGACCATCTTTTCCTCCTTCCATCCCTTCTTCCATTCCTACTCTCTTTCCCTTTCTTACTGTCCTTTGTTCCTTTCTGGATTTTTTCATAATTTGTTTGCAGTTCCAGATATCAAACCCAGAAGCTTATGCGTGCAAAGCATACATTATTGCAAAGCCATATCCCCAGCACTCACTCCTTACAGGGTAACCAGAAGACAGGATACCATTCCCAGTATCCACCTTCTTTTAAATCTCCACAATTCTCTAGGAAGTTAAGTCTGTCACTTGTCACTTGTCATCCCATTGTTCATTGATTTGCTTCAGTGGGCACCAGTAAAGTCTCTATTTGTCCCAGAGGCATGATAGTGCAGCCCAATGTTGTATCGGGGGCTCTTTCAGGGTCAGGGGAATGAGACCCGTTATTTGTTACTGTTTTTGGCATATCAAATATGTCAGGGGTAGCTTGCCAGGCTCTGCCTTATGGGCAGAAATACTCTGTAGCTTGCCGGGCAATCTGAGCGGGATGGAGGCTTTGGTGGCGTCCAGGAAATACTGCATCACTCTCTTCTGGGAGTTTTGTTTTATAGTCTTTGGAACTTGGCCGTTGATGAGATTACATGGTTCCAGGGGCAATTTGTGGGTGTGACTGCCAAGCTACTGGAATACTGGAGGTCTGGGTGGAGGAGGCCTGGCCCCAATCTGAGCAGGCTTAGAGATCTCAGCCACAGATCACGCATACCTGGGTTCCTCTGCTGGCCCCTTCATGTACGAAGCTCGTCCGAGCATGTGGAAAGTGGCCTTGAGCTTGGCTGTGACTGGGTTCTGGAGATTTTTGGCTGCCTGGGTTCTGCTTGGGGCGGGGAGGGAGACTCAACCTGCCCCTCTAGGAGGGGCCCTAGTGAAGACAGCCTGGCTCAGGGGCAGGAGATAAGCCTGTCATTTATGAATTTTATGAATTACTATTCCAATTGTGGTTGGTGACTTGAATACTTTTGTATATTTTTAAATTAATTTTCATGAGATGTTATTTGGAATCATGAACTGTTTCAGATATTTAAACTACATATGACATACTAGATAATGAAGAACTACATAGTATTTGACTGGAAAGCATTTTGCTCCTGAACACTATTTTAGAAAGAAACAAAATGACATAGATATCTTTCCTTTCCTTCTGCAGAGGTAACTATCAACTGGATATAAGTGTATATCATTTCCATATGTATTTCCTATGTATGCATTGTCTCCACTAACTAGAAATCAGCCAACATATTTTGTCAAAGGATAGTTTTCTTTTTGAACAGTCTACGACTTTTAAAACAACTGTCAAAACTATAAAAACATTTTTTGGATCTGTGGCATACAGAGAATCTAGGAGCTGTGTCTGGCCATTTGGGGTCAGTTTATCAAATCCCTGATATTTTTTCCACTTTTGTTATTTTAATAATTTGTACACAAATAGAATCATGTTTTTTGGTAATACTTCACAAGTTAGGGGTTCATTCACCGTTACTTTTGATATATATACATTTCTATAGGTCAATCTATCTCATATTTTAGTGGTCATATTGTATTCCAGTCTATGAATAAACCACAGTTTCCTTTTTCATTCTTTGCCCAACAAATAAAATGCAACCTCTCCACCTCCCACACACATACATTTCTTCATTTTTAACAGTGCTGTAACTTTATTAAACTGATATCAAATCCTGTGGTTAAAATGAAACCTTTGGAAGTAAAATGTCTGTGTTCAGATTCTAGCTTTTATTAGTTATCATGAGTTACTTACTTTTTTATAAAATAGAATTATTAATAGTATTTTCTCTTAGCATCACTCAAGGCATTATATCATTAGAAAGATTCCTATTACAAGGACTCTAAATATTTTTGTTTTAGACATTATTATTAAAAATTTATTACATCTATAGCAATATATTGCATTCATTACATATTTTATCGTAAATATTTAGTGTGTAATAACAAATGTCTACATTGTACAAACTTCACTTAATCACTTAATCACTAAACTTCCCGTTAGTAGTCGATTTGCTCGAGCGGGCGCCAGTAACATCTCCATTTGTCCCTGTCGCGTGGCAGTGTAGCCCAATGGCATCTGTTCGCTCTGGGAACATGAAGAGCCTCAAACCGATTGTTCATGATCTTGATGAAGAAGTCTGACCATCTGGTAGGTGGGCGGCCACGCGGTCTTTTGACATCCCGTGGGATCCAGTAGGTAACAGCTCTAGTCCAGCAGTCGTCTTTAAATCTCATTACGTGACCAGCCCATCTGATTTTTGACACCTTGGCAAACGAGACAGCGTCCCTGATTCTTGATCGTCAACGGATGTCGGAACTCCGGATTCTTTCACTCATTTGAGTGAAACGTGATATTCCAAGCATAGCTCTTTCAATTCCTCTTTGGGAGACCTGAATAGCATTCTCATCCTGTTTACGTAGGGCCCAGGTCTCTGAGGCATATGTTAATGCAGGAAGAACAGTGGAATCAAAGAGATGTGCCCGGAGCCGGAGGTTCTTCGTCCTCTTAGCTGTTTCTTTGATGTTCTTGAAGGCGTTCCAAGCCGCTCTCTTCCTCCTGCGCAGCTCGGGTGCCAGGTCATTTGTCATGTTGACCTCTCGACCTAGGTACACATAGCTGTTGCATTCGGAGATGGTCGTTCCGTTGAGAGCGAATGGGGCATCAGGAACAAGGCTGTTTCTCATAAACATTGTCTTCATAAGATTCAGCTGTAGTCCTACCTTTCCACACTCATGGTCAAAGTCGGTCAGCATTTGTGCCACTTGGCTTATGTTTGTTGTTATTAAAACAATGTCACCAGCAGAGCGGAGG